CCCTTTTCTCAGAAAAAAAAATTTCTTCATTTCACCTCCAGGATTGCTCATCGACGAGGATTGCTCATCGACGGTCTTCCTTCTATGTCACTGGCTGCTTAATGAAGGGAGGCCCAAGGCTCAGTCCTGGGACACCTTCATCTGCTCTGTTTTCTCCCCCTCCATACTCAGTCCCTCACTAGGTGATCTCATCCAGCTTTGGGCTTTATCTATGCCTTCCAAACATTTACCCATTCCACTGAACTCATAAAACCAACTACCTACTTAACATCACCAGGAAGTCAAAGACACAAAGTAAATGAAACATTTCCAAAACTCCTGATCCTCTCCCTACCCCAAACCTGCTTTAACCTTGCGTTTCTCATTTCATCTGATAGCAATCCCATGCTACCGGCTGTTCAGGCCGAAAGCCTTACTAGTCACACTTCTCTCGCACCTGACATAAAATACACCAGAAACCCTGACGGCCCCACCATCAAAACATAGCAAGAATCCAACCACTGTTCAGAGTCTCCACTATAAACAACTCGGTCTGTGCATTCTAATTACCGATTTCCATTCTGACCCTGCCAAAACACAGTCTTACCATGTCACTTATTCTCAAAATTCTCCACAGCTTCTCCATCTCCCTGTAAGCCCAAAGTCAAAGGTTGACATGATGTGGCCACATTTCCTCTCTGACCTCATCTTCTACTATGTGCTTCTAGCACTACGTACTTCAGCACTTTCCAAGTTCAAGGATTTTATACTAGCTGCCCCTTCTGCCTGACATCTGCACAACTTTCACCCAAACTTCCATCACATCATCGTTTAATGTCCTCAACTCAGTAAGGTCTGCAGGAAGCATTCTAACGTCAAGTTGCAATCTTCTCCAGGCATTCCCTGCTGCCCTACAGGGCATTTCCCTCTTGTTCGCCGCTACAGTCTAGACCTCAGTGTTAAAGACACAGTGCCTAGATATAGTAAACACTAATTACTAGTTGTTGAATAAATGAATGTATCTGAAAGATGTTAAAGTGAACAATGTTACCATGAATGAAAAGCACTTTATCCTGACAAGTAACAATTTAAAATCTAAATAGTTTTATTAAAGAGCTCCTAAAGATATTTGGAAACTTGGCCCAAAGCCTTAGAGTCTACATTGTAGCAAATACTAGGCAAGGTACAAAGATACAAACATAAGTAAGGACCCTGACTTCATGGGAGTCCGTCTAAGAGGAGAGACAGGCACGTCAGCAAACAGTCAACATGTCATGCACGACACAGTAAAAGTGTGCTCGGAGTGTCCATGTCAGGGCTGGTACAGACGACACAGCATCAAGAGATGTTTAAGAGAGGCTAGAGAGACAAAGTACTATTTTTAGCCAGACCACAATGAAGCAGGGTTTTAGCAGATATTCAAGAGGGTAACAATTAGTTCAAGTAGAGATGCGTATATGAGGAGGAAAGGTGCCAAGACATGAACAGCCGAGGCACATTCAGGGAGGACGCAGCAAGCTAGCTGCCGTGGGACAACGGGCAAGAAATAAGATGCAACCTCCTCTGACACTCTACAGGGAGGGTGAGACACGGAAAGATTTTAAGCATAAAAGTGGAAATTAGTACTTATGGTTATCCGTGAGTGAAACAGGCGGGAGGCTACTGACACGGGTGAGGCAAGACAAGGCGACTGGGGTCCTTGCCGTGCGTGTGCGGTCAGCTTCCCGGGGAGCCTCCGAAAGCCTGTGGACTCTTTCTCTGAATGATGATTACAAATGTATGAAATAAAATACATAAAATTAAAGGACACCAATTCTACGGAAGTATAATTATTAATACATTTAAAAATTGTTTTTGCTATAACATATAATAAATATTAAAATCAGTAATAGTATGAGCATATAGTATATTCCAAAATATATTTCAGTAATTCAAAACACTAAAAAGACATACAGTTCATATATAATGTGACATGAAAACATCTGCATTTTTATTGGTGGCAATGTCTCAAGTACAACTAATGTTACTGTTTCATTTATCCTCATAATAAAAAGAAACAGTTTTGGTTACAGGGTAGTTAGTTTGTATCCACGTCCATGGAACTTAGGCTAAAAACCCCTCACACAGGGTCCAAGCAATAAGAAAGGAAACCAAAGAGATACTTAGAGAGAATTAGAGAGAATATATTTCAAATAAATAAAGGTCCTCTGTTAAGAAAAAGAAAAAAAAGGCAAGTAGATAAAATAATCCTAACCTGCATTGGACTGACTACAGACAGTAAAGAGGAAATATCCCTATATCAACTGTTATTTAACAGTTTCCTTTACTCTGCTAAAAAGAGCACAAACAACAGCAATACCACCAAGCATGATTCATTTTCAACATGAATCCCTCCCTGTTCAAAGTTTACATTGTTTTTGACCAGCATCAGACTGTTTATCCACACAAACTGTAAATACATCCTTTTTAGAACTAACCAACAACAATGCCCATTTTGTTTTGACAAATGAAATACAAAGAGAACATGAAGAAAAATGACCATCACTCTAATGTCAGTGCTTTAAAAACTGGAAAAATGACTCAGAGTAATGGGGTGAAATTTCAACATGACAAAATTTTAATATGGATTATCAGTAGGAAAATGAAGAGAGCTGTCAGCAATAAAGCTGAGAGAAAGTAGCATATTTTGACTTGGAAATTCATGCATTGCTCTTCAACCATCTGTTCTTTTACAAATAACAAATCCTTAACCTATTGCCACTTTGTACCTTCCAGCAAAAATGTATTCAAGGGAGTTTGTTCACAGTCACTTAATATCTATCTTTCTCTTGGACTAAAAGATCCACAGGACAGAGATGACAATTTTTTGTGCACATTATACTCAAAGCCTAGCACAGACCCTGGTATGTGGTATGCTTATTCGGGAAGAAGAACAAGAAGAAAAAAGAAGTTCAAAATTTTTTTGCCAATACATCAAGTTCGCTGGCCAACCTAGTACTCTACATGCACGCTGACTCTCTCTCCATGAAGTGGTTAAGGGAAAACATTCCACATAAAGAAAAAGATCCTCAAAGAACCGATACTGTCACCTACTTATATGACAAAATATTTATACCAAAAATATGTGAATAAAAATAATTATTCAAGTAAAATGCCTTGCAAATGGTGGAAAATAAGAATATCATTCAACTTTCAACTTCTTTTAAAATTCTAAATACTTTTTTAAATGGCTGTTTTCAGCTAGGACTGATGCTGAAAGACTTACAACTTGGAAGGTCACAGGTCACTAATTAAGTTAAATACACACAAATAACAACTGTTATAGAAATAATGGGGCCAAAACATAAAACATCAAGCGAGGAGAAAACAGAGGTCCTGAGTTTTCTGAGTTACAACACAATCTTTCCCAAGGATTCTATACACCTGCATGTTTCAGGCTGTCTTAAAACTTCCTACAGAAAATATTTATCTAAATTGGTTAGGTATTATAAAAGGATACGTGTTCAAGTGGAAGCTAAAACAAATAAGGATAGCTGTACTGCCAAAAATAATTGCAAAGAGGTACTCAAAACTAATACTTGTACACACGTGTTCATATCAGCACCATTAACAACAGCTAAAGTGTGGAAATAACCCAATGTCCACCAACGGAAAAGTGGATAAAAAATCGTGGTATTTACATACAATGGAACACTATTCAGCCATAAAAAGGAATGCAATGCTGATACATATAATGATGTGGCTATACCTCTAAAATGTTATACTATAGGGAAAAAGGCCAAAACCAAACAGATACACACTGGATGAAGTATACTATAGGCGAAAAAAGCCAGAAACAAAAAGTCACATATTGTATGAAGGCAGTTATACGCAATATCCAAAACAGGTAAATCCACAGAGATGGAAAGCAGATTAGTGGTGGCTACGGGCTTAGAAAGAGAATGGGGGGTAACAACTTACTGAGTAAAAGTGTCATCTAGTGTCAATAAAAATTTTCTGTCATTCTGATGGGAAGGAAATGGTACCACCTCTCTGGTATTAAACTACTGTGGTCAAGGTTTGCACACATTATAACCCAGGGTTTCCACTTAAAATGAGTACATATCTGCACCAAGAATATAGAAATTTTCATTGCATCATTATACATAATACCCCATGCCAGAAACTACCCAAACATATATCAACAGTAATAGAAAGGAGAAATAAACAAGTGGAAGTATAACTGTGCAATGGGATATGGAAGATCAATGGAAATAAATCAAGTAAAACTGAATTCTTTCATGATCATGATGTTAAAGAAGCTGAATATACCAAAATATACATATTCCATAATTCCATTTACATGAAAGTGAACAACAGTATTTAAGGATACTTCCTTAGGAGAAAATTATTTTCAAAAAGGAAGTGATTACCATAAAGTCAGATTCACGGTTTTCTTTTACAGAAAAGGAGCACAAAAGGGGACTTTCAGTAACTGGCTGGGGTGACAGTAACACAACTATTTGCTCTAAGATGGATTATTGAGCTAAACAATGTGGTTTTTTTTTGCTTTTCCTGCAACATATTGGTAGAAATCCCACAACAATGTATTTTAAAATAAAATGCAAATGCTGCTCTAAAATACACATGACTCCTGACCATTGTTCAATAATGAACATTTCTTAATGAACTATATAGTGTTGGCTTTAGTTAAAGGCAAAATTTTCTGGATAAGATCTATAGACAAGAGAGTAAATTTTTAAATTTATGAATCCAGTCTTGAACTTCATATTCCATAAAAATGACACAAAGAAGTCCTTACTTACTGAAAAAGTTAAAGTAGCAGCATAAAGACCATCAAAGTAGCATTGCCATCAATTAAATGATTTAATAAGTTAAGAATGTCCAAAAATGAACCCAAGACCTTGTCCCTGCGTGAACAGATTTGAAAAATGGATTTACCATGTCCCAGATCTTGAAAATTAAGGATAAGGGGAAGAGGGCTTGCAGGGCTCAGTGGAAAGAGAGAAGAGCAGGTTTACCATGCAGAGGTGACCCGGAAGGGCTGCTCGATAGACCTGGAACAGGGCTACAGCGACCTCCTTGCTTAGATGTCAGTTCTTGTTCAATCTCCTCCAGCCCAGCACTTTTCTGGAAACGGCTCATACGATTCACAACTCGTGGTGACATATGTGTCCGAACACAAGGCTGGCCACCATAAGGGTTGATTGGAAAAACGTGGGACGTCCCCCGGAGTGTGCTGACCACAACCCAGCGACAGTCATGGCTGAAGCAGATGTCTTGTACCTAAAAATGAGAGGCGGAAAACAGAGATGATGTAAACTACTTGCACTTGTCTAAGAGCTTGACACGCACACCATGAAATATGCTTATCACCAAATTTACCTAAGGTCAAATTATAAATAAAGTTTTATTCTACAGATGTGTTTCATATATTAATAAACTCCATATCAGAGATATAAGATTTAGAGTAGGAAATTCTATTCCTTTCCTAAATGGGGGGAGAAAGAGGAGAAAAAAATTGGGGAAACTGTAATAGCATAGTCAATAAAATATACTTAAAAAATAAAGTATATTTTATTGATTATGCTGTCCCTCTTTTATCCCCCCATGTCCTGCAACTCACCACCTTCTAGCATTCACCGCCCCCATTAGTTCATGTCTATGGGTCGTACATATACATTCTTTGGTTTCTCCATTTCCTATACTCTTCTTAACCTCCCCCTGTCTGTTTTGTGCCTACCATTTATGCTTCTTATCCCCTCTATCTCCACCCCCCAACCTCCTCCTTCCCCTCCATACTGAAAACCCTCCATGTGATCTCCATTTCTTTGGTTCTGTTCCTGTTCTAGTTGTTTGCTTAGTTTGTTTTTGTTGTTTTTTAGGTTCAGTTGTTGATAGTGATGAGCTGTTATCATTTTACTGTTCATAGTTTTTGATCTTCTATTTCTTAGATAAGTCCCTTTAACATTTCATATAATAAGGGCCTGACAATGAACTCCTCTAACTTGACCTTATCTGGAAAACACTTTATCTGCCCTTCCATTCTTAATGATAACTTTGCTGGATAGACTAATCTTGGATGTAGATCCTTGCCTTTCATGACTTCAAATACTTCCTTCCAACCCCTTCTTGCCTGTATAAGGTTTCTTTTGAGAAATCAGCTGATAGCTTTATGGGCACTCCTTTGTAGGTAACTGTCTCCTTTCCCTTTTCTGCTTTTAAGATTCTCTCTTTATCTTTAATGTTGGGTAACTTAATAATGATGTGCTTTGGTGTGTTCCTCCTTGGGTCTGATTTCTTTGGGACTCTCTGGGCTTCCTGGAAATCTATCTCCTTCAACAGATTGGAGAAGTTTTCCTTGATTATTTGTTCAAATAAGTTTTCAATTTGTTACTCTTGTTCTTCTCCTTCTGGCACCCCTATGATTTGGATGTTATAGCGCTTACAGTTGTCCCATAGGTTCCTAAGCCTCTTCTCATTTTATTGAATTATTTCTTCATTCTGTTCCAGTTGGATGTTTATTTCTTCCTTTTGTTCCAAATTGTTGATTTGAGTCCCAGTTTCCTTCCCTTCACTTTTGGTTCCCTGTATATTTTCCTTTATTTTACTTTGTGTAGCCTTCATTTCTTCCTCATTTTGTGAATGAACTCAATCAGTTCTGTGAGCATCCTGATTACCAGTGTTTTGAACTCTACAGCAGCTAGGTTGTCTATCTCCTTGTTGCCTACCTCTTTTTCTGGAGATTTGATCTGTTCTTTCATTTTGGCCATATTTCTTTGCCTTGGCACACCTGCTATGTTGTAAGGGCGCAGAGCTTCAAGGTATTCGCCAGGGCAGGGCAACCCTCTTTTCTGCATGTGGCACTGTCTGTGTGGGAGGGGTCGGAGAGGGAGCAATGCCATTCGTTTATTGCACTCTAGCCCCACTTTCCCACGAACTCTTCTGTGAGGCTGAGAGTTCCTCCCACTGTGGCCACCCCAGCAGTAGTTTACAGCTAGCTTTGAGACTTCAGTTTCCCGTTCAGCCAGCCCAGCCTCACCCACACGGTCTGCCACCTTGGCACAGGTCCTCTTCGCTCAGCTGCCCGTCTCCCATCTCCGTCCCTCCCATCGGTCCTGGTGAACGTTTCTTTAACTCCTTGGTTGGAATTCCACACAGTCTGACTTTCTGGTACTTCTGGTTGTTTATTGTTTTTAAATTGGTTGTTATCCTTCTTTTGGTTGTGGGAGGAAGCGAAGCATTTCTACCTACACCTCCATCTTGGCCAGAACTCCTCAGTAAAATTATACTTTAAAAAAAGTGTTCCCCCCAGTATTTCCAGTACCCACATGACATCATATGTAGTTATTGCATTATTGACCATATTCTTTATGCTATACTTTACATCTCCATGACTATCTTGTAACTACCAATTTGTATTTCATCCAGGGTTACTGAATGAAGGAGGTGAAGAGATTAATAGTTGAAAAATAAACAATAACAATAATTTTCTACCACATACAACAATTATTAAACAGTACTTTAAAAAAAAACCCCAGCAAAGTAAAAAAGTATGGTAGAATATAAGACATCAGTGCATGGTATTTAACATGGAAAAGGCATACATGTGTGTATACATGTATGAACATATCAGCTTCATAACAACAACGTAATTAGCCATCAAAGCCAACTTTCCAATATAGTAGATCTTCAAATAAGCCTAAATTCATATTACATCTTGAGTAATATTCCAGAAATACTCCACAAACAAAAGCTAAAAGAATTCCTCAAAGCCCAAGTCTCTGGAAGAGCCTGGAACCCTTAAAATAAAATAAAAAAAATTTAGTTTAATATATCAAGACAAGATACTTCATTGTTAGTCTATTGCTAGACAAAAGTTATCAATATAGGGATAAACCCAATTTCAACCACATGCCTGTCTATTTCAATTACCATGATAAATGACATGTTAATGTTATAATTAAAGAATCTCCTGAGAGCTGATATATTTCACTCCCAGGAATTCTAGAATTATGAATAAACAGTCATTCCACATAGTCATGCCTATGATAACCTCCAACTAGACTGACTTATAGAAAAGCAAGAGAAATGGAAGGGGCAGGGCAAAGAAACATGTAAATAGCAAAGCAAGAGAAAAGAAACACAGAGCCAGACAAATTTAATACCATGCTATCAAATGTATTAACACAAGCCAGGATCAAATATATAAAGAAAAAAATCTTTAGGCTTATTAAGTAATTTACGTTCCATCCACAGTGGAACTAAACCATGTTATCTAAAACCTTTTTCCAAAACACTTACAATCAAGACACTTCCTGATCTGTCCACGAAAAAAGAGTTTCCTTCTTTCATTTTAAGAATACTTCTGATATGAGGTGGTGCTAACAATCAGTATCAAGGCAGGAAGACAGAATTCCACCTAAATGCCTCTTAGAAAACTGCTGTTAGAACACTGAGTCTGCTCTATGACCTTGAAGACACACCAGGATACATAAATGAGTTGAGAAGGGTTGCTAAAGATATTAGCTGTCAAGAGACTAGAGACGGTTTAATCCTTTAAATAACGTTACAGAAGATAACCAATCGCCTACCCACAAAATACAAAATGATATGACTGTTGGTATTATCAAACAAGTTGGGTGGTTTGTCATACATCATTAATAACAATAAAGACTATGCATAATGGCAAACTAGTAATAAGAAAATGACATCATCTGCATTATTTTTAGGCCTCTATTTTGGAATATATCTAGTTACAACTTTCTCCTCACAAAACAGAGGAGTTCAGTGCAAGTTGTATCTCTGATTTAGCTCTACTGTACTAAATATCATAGCAAGTAATACTGGCCAGATCAGGCAATTGTTACAATTTTTTTATAATACAGTTCTACATGAGAAATATGCAATCTGTTGTAGAAGATAATATTTTGCTTAATTGGGTTTCTAAGCTAGTATTATCATCAAACAGATTCCAATGCTCATCTGTAAAAAGTAGTCTTAGCTCATAAGATGTTGCAAAAACAGACAGAGGGTTATATATGGTTCATAGGCCACACTTGCCGACCCATTTTATAGCACCATCATGTGGGAAATGTAGATTTGTGGGCACATCACAGACCTCAAAGCAGAAAATACCTTGCAATCCTAAAGCCAAAGTCAAAAACACAGCAAGGCTCTCAAATAAGCACTATTATTATAGTGTACCAAACACTCCACAGTATAGAAAGGGAAAAGTACATAAATCCTCTCCAAAGAGGAATCCATACAAGACATGAGTTAGGAACATGAGACCAATTAGATTACAAATCTTTTCTAAACTCAATAGTAAGCAGACATTTTGCTTTGTCTTCTACGTGAATATATCTGTATTCAGTTCAACAATAACACAATTATTACATAAAGTCATTTTAGTTTACAAAACAAAAGCACCACACAAACACACATAAATACCACAACTCAGAGACAACTATCTACTACCTTGGAACACATTCTTCCAGACATCTCCCAATGCATAAATAGATATGTATATGTGTGTTTATGAGTATATACCACATAAATACCAACATAGATACATATACACATGAACACGCACATATATAATTTCACATCAGATAACAAGCAGCTGATTTGAAATGTAAAACAGCCTTTAAAATTTAATGTTAATAAAAAATAGTGAAAACACATAGAAGTAGCACTGTAAATAGGAAGTCTTTACATGTCAGTATAGGCTTTACTTAGAGGTCATCTTTTATCGTAAATATATTTACCACTTGCCAGTTACATGGCCCTGGAAAAGCTAGTTAACAGTTCTGTGTCTTCTAGTTCTTCATTTGCGAATGGGAATAATAATGCAAATCTTACGGGGCTTTATGTTTAATGAATTAACATATGAAACACTTAGAATAGTACTTAGCACTAAGAAGCACTGAACTAAGATGTTTGTTGTTATTTTTGTAATTACCATAAAATGTTTGCTTACTCTGTCCAAGTATCTGTTTCCACTGCCACCAATGTATAATCTCTCTACCAGTTTACTCCATTACACTCTTAACTGAACTCTTAATTCATACTACCTACAAGCAACAACGAAGTAAATAAACTACACTTCAAAATTAAAAGCTTTTGTACATCAAAGTATACTATCAAAAAAAGTAAAAAGACAACCCACAGAATGCCAGTAAATTTAAAAAGTGAAAAGACTAACTAGCTAGTTTTGCTGAAAAGGAAGCTCTACAGCTTTCTTTATCCTATGTGGTTTCATTTACCTGCCCCTTACTTCTTGA